CTGTAAGGGACTCTATTTTATTTTTTTTCAGACCCTCAAACGAACGCCAGGTATTCCCCACAGCCTGCTGGGGCACGCTGGAGCCCACAGCCCATCTGGTCTGGGCAGCGAGGGGCACATCAGGCTGCTGGAGCTGGCTGCTTGGGAGTCTCTAAGCACCAGTGTGAAGTAGCAGACGTTACAACACACGTTTTTTGGGAGGGCAGGAGTAACTCCGTGGCTAATAGTTGCTTTTTATACTGCTGCAAGCCTTCAGCGTTTCCGAGCACCCTTTTGAAGGCATACAGACATCGAGTACTGCAGGCAGATGTTATATGTGTCTGTCTCCATAAAATACATGACGCATATACAAGAGAGCCTTTCTTCATTTTTTTTTTTCTTTTTTTTGTGTGCTTACCATATCACCTTGTCTCTCAAGGACAGCACATTGCTAAAACGCAGGCAGAGATTTATTGGAGGGACAAGAAGGACTTTACTCTTCCTGCTCCTCCCTCTCTCAGTTAACGACTCCCACTCCTTTGCCCGTCTGGCATCTCTTATGCTCCACTGTGAGCTGGAAGAAGGCAAGCAGTGGAGCCAGGGGCACATCTTGCCCTCCACCCCATCCCATGCCTTGATATGGAGAACATAGCCCTAGTGACATGGCCTGCTGTGGGGGCAGGAGATGTAGCTGCCTTTGTTACTTACCCCAGAGTGTAGACACAGTTTTTCAGTCGCCATACCGACTGGGTTTTTTTCCTTGTGTTTCTTCTGATAAACAGCCTACAATGAAACCCGCACAATAAGAGTTTTCTTCCTTATGATGCTTTGATATACGGTAGATTCCATGAATAGAGATTGCAATAACCTCCTCATCCTGAGGTCTTGTAGGGACTCACAGAAAAAATACTAATCAAAGTCTTCACAGTGCCTCAGTGGGTGCTGTCATGCCTGCAGTATGCACTGCAACTACCTGCCAGAGGCCAATTCAGTTCAGAAGCACTGCTGCTTCACCTGGGAGCCAGGAGTTGATTGTTGGATCCTGCTTCTTGGCGTGGTGTTGTGCCAAAATGACTCTGCTACCATGAATGCTGAAGGAAGCATGCCTCTACTTGGTCTGGGTTATTAGCATTGCACTTCTTTACGTAACACAACTGTAGTACCTACTTCTCAAACTCCTGTTTCTGTCTTGTCTAGAATTGCAGTTTCATGTGCAAGTTTGGAGAAGAGGATTTGGAACCCTGAGTCACTCAGAAATCTTTGAAAGATCTATGATTAACTTGCTTTTAGCTGTCTGAATAGATTAATATTTAGCAGAAATCATTCCATAAATAAAGTGGTGAGAGTGAGATATGGGGGTAGATACTGAGTGTGTAAACTGAGTTGTTATCCAACTGGAAATTGAAATTCTTACCATGCTGTGAAATTTATAGCTAATAACTAGTAATATAACCAGTATTAGGTCTAACTTAGTCTAGTCTTACAATGCTTGGAATAGATGGACATTCCTCTTCAGAGTTAATTTTCAGGATGCTAGTAAATATCACAGTTAGTTTATTCCATTTACTCTCTTGCTTTGTGGTGGATAGGACTTCTGTAAAATTATCTGTACTCAGTATGTGCCTATAGTATCATCCAATCATGTAAATTCAGGGACACTATTTTTAATCAGACAATATAATTGGTACTAATCTTGAAATAAATGGTGCTCCGGAGAAGCAGGAGCTCCTGTCTTCTCCGGAGCACCATCTGTGTGGCTCATATGCAATCAGCAATATTTATATTAAATGCTATATAGTCTGCCTCATCTGCTGTTTGATTTCTTCTGAGTCTCATCCTATGAACCAAAACAGGAATCACAAGACTCCAGTTCTGACAAGTGTTCTCGTCCCTCAGTCTCCTATGTGTACCTTGTTAATGCAGCTTTGTTCAGCCCTTTTGTCAGCCTACAGTGCTCATGGTATACGCAGTCTTGCACTACAATCAGTGCAAGGTCCTTAGCTCAATTTCAATTGTAATATCTCTGAAGCTTCTTATATATCCCCCTGATTCTTATATGTCTTCTGAAACTTTGCTGTTTTCTCCATTTCATCAGTCATATGGATCTTGCAATGTCCTGTCCCAAAATATCACATTAGATTATACCCAGAAACACTGTTCTGCTCCTCATTTACTAGAAGGCCACTTTCTGATTGTTTGGGGTTTTTTGGTTGTTGTTGGGGTTTATGGTGATTTTTATTTATTTATTTATTTATTTATTTATTTATTTATTTATTTATTTATTCATTAATTTGCCTGCTTGTAAAAAGCAAAATTTTACTGTAGAATATTATCCTGGCTAAAAAAAACCAACAACACAAAATTCAGCATACATTTTTCACATTGTCTTTTCTAACAAATGTGCTTTTCTTGTTCTTTCTTTTTTCTTACATGGTAAGGGGTTTGTAAGCAAGCTGGATGAATTCATTCACTGGTTAAATGAAGCCATGGAAACAACAGAGAATTGGACTCCTCCTAAAGCAGAGACAGACAGCCTTAAACTGTACCTGGAGACACACTTGGTAGGACAAGATTATACTATGATTACTATCAGTAATTGAAGTGTTCTGCTGTGGTTTTTATTTGATTATTTTTTTTTTAATTGCCAGTATGCATCTATGTTTTAATGCAAGATTTGCAGCATTGCCGTTTATTTGAATGAAAATACCAACAAATTATTTTCTGTATTTGAAATATGTACTGATAGCTTTGTAAAAGTTATACTGAAAGCTAGAATTACATAAAAATTCAGAATTTATCTCCAAAACTAAAGAAAATGGCAATAGCAAAAGGAGAAAGGATAATGTTTCTTCTGCTGATTTTTCTAGGATTTTTACAACACTGGCATTAACAAAAGTCTCACTAGTGAGGAACTCATTTACTCTCCCACAGTTTTAACATAGTACAGAGTAGTGTAAATAAAATATTTGAAATAGTTATTTCAATCATTTTATTAGATGTGCATTTCTGTCGTGTAATTAATACAACTGTCACTAAACTTGTTCTTCTGCAAAAACCTGAAATATTGGGTGGAAGTAGAAAACGTGAGTGAATAGTCTTCTGAATATATTACAGGCTAGAATTATAGATTGAGAAATATTTGATAAACCTCATGGGACTTCCACTGAATTCTTCCAAGAGCTGTTTCTCGTTATGAGGAGGTGAAACAAAGACCTGAGTTAAACCAGGCATTAAGTCCTCAAAAGCAAGATTTTATGCTGTAGGTAGAGAATAGAGCTAATGTACACTGTTGAGTTGGTAAGTATCTTAATAGGTAAACTACTCTAGCTGGTAAAAAGAAAAAAAGGAATGGAAAATTAAGCTAAGAAATTTCCTCTTACTCTGCCAAAATCTTAGGTTCTTGCCAGTATGAAATAGAAGAAAACATGGTGATAGCACTATGAGGCAATAATCTAGACACCCCAGCTAGATAAAACAGCACATTAGCTGAGCCTACATCAGAGCATCAACCCCCAAAAGCTCAGTCTCATTTCCAGTCTCTGATAATCTGATGGTGGGAAATTATTTGACAGTCCTAGGAAGTCACATGATGCATTACAGGTAAAAATGTCATCCTAATCCCTGCTGTAATACTGGAGTGACCATTATTAAATTAATTAAGTATACATTAACCACATATGCAATTAGAACCAAACTGAAAACTGTCTTCAGAATTTCAGCTATACAGAAAACTCTTGTGTCTTTTGTTCTTAAACATTTCTGTTGTAGTAATGCCTACAGGCAGCCACTAGATTAAGTGCCCGTTGTGGTAGTCTATTAAATGCAATATGGAGATGCTGCATTTTTGCCTTATGTTGCAGATTTTGGGTTTTGTAGCAGAGTTCAGATTTTTTGCCTTGTTCTGTGCACACTCAGTCCCATGATTCCCATTGTGTTTACAAGTGCTCTGAAGACACAGAACATAACATGAAGTCAGACCTCAGAAAAGGCATTGGTCATTACAATTTGTTTTCCTCTTACTCTGCAACATGAAATTTTTGATGAGATGAGTTTTTATGAGTAGAATTTCCATTTTCACTCTTGACTGGATAACATAAAGCATATTCCAGGAAAAGGGCAATCACCAGGCTGAGTACCTCTCACAGTCAGTTTCTTTTACCCTTTTTTTCCATGGGGAGGAGCACAGTGGCTTATTTGCAGGCAAATTACTTCCAACTTTGCCATGTGGTTCTCTGAGAGGTGAGGCCAAACCCATCTGTATTAGACTGGAATCTGGAGTAGTAGCTTAAAGGCAACTCCTTCATTGCTAGAGGCAATACAAGTAAATGAGTATGTGGGCATCTGTACAGCCTCACTTTCCCCTGTCAGTACTTAGGCTTCCAGCTGTACCCTCTATATCTGCATATCTTTGGGGTAAGGAAATCGTTGTATGCTTCAGGATGACTATGTTATGAAACAAGTTGGGTTTTTTCTTTACTTCTGTGAAGAAGTAAAGTGTCTAATGAACAGTTGAGTTTCAATTTGATAATATAATTATTTTAATGGCATCTATAGCCAGTGAAAAACTCACTGCATAACTTGTAAAAACACAATTGTGAGTTTACTTTTTAGGATTTCAGAAAATGCATGTTATCATATTAGTTTTTACACAGCAGAAAATGCAGTGCATTTTTATATTGGGGAAGGTAGTTCTTTGTATTAGTCCGATTGTCAGACATTCAGTGGCATTTAGCTGTCAACATCCTAATCTATGTTTAGCAGAAATATATGAATTTCAGTTCATATTAACATCAATGTTGAAATTTCCCTTAGTTGAGCATTGCAAGACTATGGCAATCAAGGTCTTTGTGAAGATACTTATACCTATCATTTTCTTATTTTGCCAATCAGGTTATACATGTTGTCAGACTCACCTAAAATGTGTTGAAGTAAAGGACTTGGTACAAGATTAGTGTCCAGACTTACAGGTTTATAGTACAGACGCTGGTAGCACACTAACCTGGAAAACAAAGAAGATGTCTTGGTTCTTTTTGATGTACTGCATCCATGCTACTAAACCTCATAACTATGATTTTTCACTGGTGCAGATTTTCATCATGTGAGTGAAAACTCAGTGTAGATAAGTATTTTCATTAGTAGAGACAAGGTCTTAGCCCTTGGCTGAAGTTACCAATTTCACCACTCGTGATACTGTTTTCTTGGAAATATGTTAGTTGTGATAAAATTAGTGCCATAAAGAGAATATTTTGTATTCATGAATGAAACCTCTTCTGTCAAAATCTAGGAAAAGAAAATAGGGGAGCAGGAAAACCAAAAAAAAATGTATTTGTTCACTTTCTTATTATTGACTGGGAAACGTCCTGCAGAGAAGACAAGGACAAGGTTATGAACATCCTCCAAATTTTTCAGTATATAAAACTCTAGACTGTCATTTTAGGGTTCCAATATAAACTGTTGATAAAGGATTGAATTTTAAAGTCCCTCCTCACTCAGCCTTGCTTTTCTCCATCTTTGACATTTTGAGAAATGGTGTTGCACAGACACTTAAAGAGAGTGTGTTTTTTAAAAAAAGGTATCACAAGAAGCCTTACCACATTAACTTATTAGCATCTTTGCATAAGGTAATTCTCATGTGAGGAGTCAGATCTCTTGGAATAGGATGGCAATATAAGTCTCTATTACAAGCATCATTGCATGACATCTTCAGCTTAAATTGGTAGAATTCCCCAAGCAATTGTTCTTGTTAATTCTTATACCTGGTCTGGCAAGATTGTCCATCCAGGATGTTAATCAACACTTTGAAGCACACAAATCGTGTTTGTCTATTAGTCTTGGCTCAGCCAGAGCTGCTCGCAGGCATCTTTTATAACTGTCTGAAGGTCCCACCTGGACAGCTTCTGAAATAGTGAAGCACTTTGTTGTGAAGGTGGAAGGCAGCCTTTCCTCAAGTTGGTGTGTTTTTCCCAATTAGCCCATTATCTCATCTGTGCAGAGACTAGCCTGGGAGTTCCTGGGCCATCCAGGGAATTCGCAACTAAATGCACTTCATGTGCACACAGGTACAGCCCCGATACCCAAATACACCACAGTTATAATTATTGATTGTAGGATGAATTGGAATTTCATTCTTAAATCACAGTTACAACTTAAACTCTGTAGATTTTGCCATGATGAGTAACCATGCAGTTTGCTAAAGAGGATGAATTTTTTCTACTAATTGAAATATAGCTTATATCTTTAATGTGTGCCAGAATAGAGTCTTCAGCTTGGAGAACAGTTTCTTACAAATTTTAAAACCCAGTTCCCTGATGTTCTGCAGAACAGAAATGCCTATATGCTTCATGTTAGATAACACCAAAGCACAAAGCTGTAAATAGAAATGGTCTCAGAGATCCCTGAAATAGTGACTGAAATTATTCTTTCAGTTTTACGGGTCTTCACAACTGAGTAACATTGGTTAAACTGATTTGGGAGCCGTGTGCTTCCCATTCATATGGAAGGGCTGACATGGAGCAGCCACCACTTGAACATCTGGCACTCTGCAGGCAGCCACCCAAGCCAGCAGATGTCGAAAACACTAATACGTTTTCATAAAATGGGTGGTTTTCAGCAGAAATCTACTTTCCCACAAAGGCCTCAGTCAGTCATGCTAGAGGAAAAAGTAAGGCAGATTTTGAATTTTGTAAACAGTTAGACTCAAATCAGTTCCCAATGAAAAGATAGCTTCATTGACCTTACCAAAATGGAACTTCTGAAAATTGTTTCTGATTCACTTTATCTTTTGTATCTCTCCTTTTCAGTTATACTGATTCTTGCCCATTAGCACCCTGATCGAAATCAGCTACTAGCAGATTCTAAGCATAGACTTGGTGGTATGCAAGTCAGTTTTGATCTGAAACAGTATCCTGAAGGCTGCATATGTGCTGAAAGCATCTATCTAGGTGGTACTGCTGTGCTTGTGAAACCAAGCAGACTCTCTTACCAGCTCAACAAATAAGAATTCACCATGTTGCTCTTGACCATTTTAGATTGCTAAAACTGACATTTAAATTTATCCCTGGCCCAACAAGATACATTGTTGTAGCACAGTAAAGAAGTAAGCTAGCAAATGAGGAAATGTGAAGAACTGCTGAGGAAAATGTTTAGACAAAAGGCAATATATATATATATATATTTGCTGTCTTTTCCCTTTCTTGTTTACAGAGTAATTTGTTTTCTTGTTGCTGCACAGCTCCTAGTTGTGCACTGTACTCTGGTGTGCTCTTAGGTGTTTTGTCCTAAGCCATTTCTGTGTCTAGTGTCATACTTAGAGCTAGGTAAATACAAGATTTTTAAATGGAACCCTACAAATGAGAAATATCGTATTTTACAGTTATTTGGTGGCACTTTAAAAATACCTTTTGCATGATTAGTAGATGTTGGCAAACAGTATTTTTCAGTAGAGACAAAATTAATTAAGGAGAAGTCTTAGAAGTTTGGAATTAGTAGTCAGGCATTTTTGTCCTAACACTCTTCCTATTCAGAATTTCTGTTAAATTCTGAAATCTTGAGTACAGGGGAC